TCGTACAGAGCCCTAGCACTCTTGTACTGACTAAAGTGCGCGCGCTCAGTAGACGGCAGGTAATTATGCACAGCAAGACGAGCAGCAGCATCGCGCGTGAGCCACTGCGAGCGAACAGTACTGTCAGCATTAGCAGCAGGGGCAGTAGAGGCGCCAGACGTGAGATCGAACAGTGAGAGGCCATCCTTGCTATCGCACTGTAGGAAAAGCTGCAGATCATCTAGCCAGACCTCAAAGTCAACAGCTCGACCCTCAGCATCAAAGGTAAGAACATTGAGACTAGTCATGACAGGAGCAGCAGCAGGCTAGCAGCAGCAGCAGTGCAACTCGGCAGGGCAGGCTAGGCAGGGTGGCGCTCTTACCAGTGGCGAGGCTGGGGCAGGGCCGGGGTAGGGCCGGGGCCGGGCCGCAAAAGATCCGGGGCCGGGTCGGGCAGGGCTGCGATAGTGCAGGAGCAGGGCAGGGGCAGGGCCGGGGCAGAGCCGGGGCAGGGCCGGGGCAGGGCCGGGGCAGGGTCGGAGCAGGTCCAGGGCAGGGGGCAGGGCCGGGGCAGGGCCGGGGCAGGGCCGGGGCAGGGTCGGAGCAGGGCCGGGGCAGGGGGCAGGGCCGGGGCAGGGCCGGGGCAGGGCCGGGGCAGGGCCTGGGCAGGGCCGGGGCAGGATCGGAGCAGGGCCGGGACAGGGCCGGGGCGATGCCGCGACAGGTCCGGGGCAGGGCCGGGGCCGGGCCGCGGCAGTGCAGGAGCAGGGCCGGGGCAGGGCCGAGACAGGGTCGGGGCGAGGGCCGGGGCAGGGCTGCAACAGTGCCGGAGTAGGGCCAGGGCAGAGCTGCGACAGGGCCGCAGCAGGGCCGGCGCAGGGCCGCGACAGGTTGGGGTAGGGCCGGGGCAGGGCCGGACGGGGCCTTACGGGGCCTGACGGGGCCGCTAACGGGGCCTGACGGGGCCGTACGGGGCCTCTAACGGGGCCTGACGGGGCCTTACGAGGCCTGACGGGGCCGCAAACGGGGCCTGACGGGGCCTGACGGGGCCTTACAGGGCCTTACGGTGCCTTACAGGGCCTTACGGGGCTTAACGGGGCCTTAAACGGGGCCTGACGGGGCCTTACGGGGCCTTACGGGGCCTTAAACGGGGCCTGACGGGGCCTTACGGGGCCTTAAATGGGGCCGTAAACGGGGCCTTACGGGGCTTTACGGGGCCTTACGGGGCCTTAAACGGGGCCGTAAACGAGGTCTTACGGGGCTTACGGGGCCTTACGGGGCCTTACGGGGCCTTACGGGGCCTTAAACGGGGCCGTAAACGGGGCCTTACAGGGCCTTACGGGGCCTTACGGGGCCTTACGGGGCCGGAAACAGGGCCTTACAGGGCCTTACAGGGCCGGAAACGGGGCCGGAAACGGGGCTTTACGGGGCCGTACGGGGCCGGCGCTGGCTCTAAGGGCAGGCGCAAGGGCCGCTACGGGCCTCGAAGGGCACGCGCGACGTGCGCGTCGAGCAGGTAAGAAAAATTTCAGTGGTGGGCCCTTAAAAAAAAAACTCGAAACTAGCTCTATACCATGTGAGATAATTGACGAAAGAATGAATGAACTAGAAACTGAGATGGGTACAAGTAGAAAACACAAGTGTTGTACCCTCTAAGAGCTACCCCACTACAGCCTAAATGGACTGTAGCAGATATAAGTTTGACAGTCCTTTCATCGAGTTGGTCTTCTGGTGAGTAGTGGGGTGGTGATCTAGTGATGCAGGAGTCCGTCGTTCTTGTCATGTAGCTAACGATGTTTCTTGTTCCTTGTGCAGATTGCGATGTTGAAGATGTTGAAGGTTGCACTTGATTGGTGGGATGCGCCTCCGTAGAAGCTACTTGACTGCTTGAAGGCCGAAGTTGACGTTGCGGTGTTGTCGACTGCTGCTGATTCGGGCAATGTGTGTGCGGATGACCGGACGTCTTGCAAAGATGACAAAACGGTGGGACGTATTGTTGTACTTGTCGGTTGTTGTGTCGGTTGTTGTTGTTGTTGTAGCGTCGTTGAGTGTGGAAGGCGAACTCCAGTGCTAATGCTTTCTTCTTGTGTCGTTCTTCGTGCAGGTCCATATCTTGCTGTTCCGCGTGAATTTTGGCGCAGAGTGCTGCTTTGGAGATCTTCCCGTGAGCTCGAAGAAATGCTCGAGTGGAGCGCCAATGAGGACCAAGGCCGGCGATGATGACTGTTACAAATGCAATGCTTCTTCCGAAATTGATCCTCCGCATCGAAGGAGTCTGTCGCGCAGTCCGCGACAACGGCTAATATAAGCCATTCCCTTTTCGCCGGGTTTCATTTCCACTGTTGTCAACTGTGCCATGAGTCGACTTTGGTTAACACTGTCTGTTGCTTGATACAGACTCTTCAGATGGTCGTACGCCAGCTCAGCGGAGTTGCCGTATCCTCGATAAGACCGGATGTTCTGTTGCTCGTTTGGCGTCAAGTTTCGAAGAAGTATCGTGTACGCCATCAGCGACTGATACGTATATTGCTGCTTGTCATACTGTGTCCCGTGTGCCGGATATGGCAGGGACCCGTCGAAGAATCCGAGGATTTGTGCGCCCTCCATCATCAGCTCAAATTCGAATGACCAAGTATAAAAATCTTTCCCGTCGAAGAGTGTTGATGTTTGCAATTTTAGGACGTGTGCGAATTGCGATTGCACCTGAAGCGCGTCCAGTGTCTTTTCTTGTCCAGGTGAAGACTGCGGCTGCCGCGCGAAACTTACGGAGCCGCGTTGAGGCTCATACGGGGCAAAGGTAGGTTGTTGTTGATTTCCACGCGCGTAGGATGAACTGTCGAGGCTCATGGGAGTTGCTCTGTTGTTGTTGTCGCCGTTGTTTGATTGCCTGGAGCTGCTTGCTGGTGTTGCTCGTAGAAGGACATGAAGGAGAAAAACTTCTCCATCATCTTTGGGTCGAAGCCTGCTTGATGGTTCCCGGGATTTTCCGTTGACTCTGCAGCTGGTCTTGTACCTTCTTCTGTCTGTAGGCCGGAGACTGGAGAGATTCGTTGGAGGAGATTCTCTCCTTTTGTGTAGCCATGACTTGTGTTGTAAGAAGTTTTAAAAAAAGATGATCTTGTCCTACCTGCTCTCATACCATGTTGGGCTGAGAAAAGCCCTTAGGATCTTTCAGGACTAAGATCAGGTGTAGAGATGTAGAGACGTAATTGCGGAAGCATTAATAAAAGGTTGCTTTGAACCACCTTGTACTAGTGTGTGAGAACAAGACAAGTCGAATAATAGCAAAGAGATACAGGCCTTTTATATGATTTCAAAGAATATGAAAAGTTCTACTTTAACTGTTTTTGCTGTTGCGGTTCGATACAGTGCCGACTCGGGTAACTGCTCAGTAACGAGTCAGTTATGTGTCCTTACTGTAGCACTGTACGTTTTGTCAAGTCAAAGGTCGGAGACCTTTGACCTTCGCGTAACCTTCGACGGTTGCCTTGGTTGACTCGAGTGCTTCTTCGCTGTAGTCAGTTCCGTTTCGTGTCGAAGCTTTGATACGACAGAAGCGTTTAAATTATTTGTTTCCAACATGCAGTACATACATTACACCTATCTCTGCAGTTCGATCCAATCATCACTCCAGGTTCATGTTGAGGAATGAACTCGCTTCTTTCCTTTACTTTTCCATCGTTTCCGTTCCTGCAACCACTCAGTAATCGCAGGTCAGCCATACTGCTGCGGTGACGCTCCCAGCACTCTTATCTGTACACAAACAAGGGCTGCGGTTGAATTGATCGAGAAATGGTCCAGCACTTACCACAGCTAAGAAGTAAATGAATGTCACAACAAACATGACAATGAATATATACTGGAACAAGTTAAACCTGCAAAGATTTCAGTAGCACATGTTCAACCCTTTAGCACATGTATGAAGAAAAGCTCTCATGAGTCTTCAAAAACAGAAGAGATGAATCCACGTACACGTATAAGTAGCGTATGCCTTGAAGATTTTCTAGCGTATGACCAAATATCTCCTGCACTGCTGTTTCTTGTGCATATGCAGCAAAGGCTTTTGCACAAGATTGTATCGCACTGCAGCAGGATTACAAAGCGTCAGCTGAGAAACGACATATGCAACCAAGCGACTGAACGTCTTACCTCGTTGCACAACAAAGTATGAGGGCCACGTTAAATAAGAATGAACTCATGAGGGTAGCATTCCACCTGAAAATTGACACACATAAGTCTCCAAGATACAACAAACATACTAGACATCGAACATGTCATACCTCATCGGATGAATTGAAAGGATCAGAATGTTGAGACCAAGGTACATCTCCCCCGATATAACAGCCAGGAAGAGGTAAAAGCAAAAAATCGAGAATGCTCCTGTTCCAAGCAGGCCTGCATGTCAAAAGGATATCACATTGAGTGTGTTACGATGATAACGCTGAATACCACGGGCACTCACCCCACCACCGGTCGAGGGTTATGAAAAAATCGTTCAGAAAAGCCGCTGCAGGCGGCTGTATGAGCATATATAAGATAATATGCACGATCCAAGCAACAGAAATGGCAAGCCTGCAGGGCGAATGAAACGATTAGAATACAATACGAGAGTCTCACTGTAATCAGCTCAATGAACTTACCCAATGACTCCAAATATCAGTTTCCCAATGTAAAGAAGTACTTTCATAGCCCAGAACATCTCTGCTTCCTCTCCTTGGGGAAATCTTTCTCGAAGCTCAGCTTCATCCTCTTCCAAATGAAAAAGCGCCTGTTTCAGAAACACCATCACTTCAAGAGCTTGAGAACTTCTGACAATCCATTCTTACCTGCTGCAACTTCTTTGCATTTCGCCTCCATGCCCAAGTTTTACCGCCACTTCTTTCCTCCTGCTGAAGAGTAACAGCAAGTTCATGTATCTCCTTGGCCTTTTTCCCAATTGCTGTGGCTTCCTGCATCCGCGTTCTGTCACGTTAGGAGAACCAGAGCATGAATCAAACCCTTAAATTTGCAACTGCCGGTACCTTAATGTATTCCGAACGGGTTATTGTGGCTCTTGGACGCCTTAGAAAGGAAAGAATAGATGAAAGTGGCAAGACGGCTATGCCAACACCACCAAAAATCTGTATTAACACAGACGTCAGTCGATTTGATCATCTGTTGGAGAGGGAGCAGCATCCTATAATACTCACTGAGAATAAGAGAGACCCCAGTATCGTGAATAATGCAATAATGTACTTCGGAAACGAGACCCTCAGTGTCCATGTAGTCTTGGATCCTTGAGGGGAAGCATAAGAAGAACACTGATTTCACAGAAATAACAAATTAGGTCTATCCCAAGAAAAGGAGCGACCTTAAGGTGGCAATTTCTAACTCACCGCGCCCAGACCGGTATTATACAAGGAAACACAAGAAGCTTGACTACCAAGCGAACTAAAGTCGTTCGTCATGGGAATAGTCGCAGAGACCAGCCTCTTTACAGGATACTCCACGTAACCAACGAAACCTGAAATGGAATTGTCATAGGACCCTGTCCGACTTAACGCAGTAAATAAAAAGCGTATCCATTGTCCTGCTTACCATAAAGAATCCCAAAGAGCCCCCCGAACACAAACACGGACAGGAGACACCACAAAATCGCGAGCAATACCCGCTTTCCGGTACCCCTGCGTCACGATGAGAGTTCAATCAGCGATTGTGAGCCTAAATATAGTGAATGACTTAAGGCCTCCACACTTACTTTTCTTCATCGCCCTCGTATAAGAAAATGGAGAAAGGGATGATGACGAAGACCATGACGCATATTGCAATCCAAAGGATGTACCATAGAGTTCTCATGGGCAAAGTCTCGGAGCACTCTCCGCTCACGAAGCCATTAATGCAGCTTTGCCTGTTGGAAACGTCCGCAGGAAGCATGAGAACTGAAAGCTGCGCAAGCGTAAGGCCAATGACCTGCGCAAGGCAAACCATGCCGTCCTATTGAGTATGAACATCAGAGATTCCCCGAAGCAGCTGTACGAAATACGGAGGGACGTTGTGGTTGGGATATTATACAAAAATAGGAACAAGTTCGCCTACCACGACAAGTTTTGGGAAGTACGCTTTGTTTGAGTCATCCGGATGTTGGTAATTAATGAGGAGATAAATACTGACGGCGATGGAAAGCAATGATACAACAATTGCTATAACAAGCAGCGCAATGTTAATGTCCCCCATGGCTTGGAAAACAAGGAAGAATCTGCAAATTCGTTGACAGAATTTCTTCCACAGCGTCTCCTCTCATATGATGCAGTATAGAAAGCGTGATGGAAGGCATCTCGTTGGGGTGGGCTCGTAGGCAAGTGAGTGAGAGAAGCAGCGTTTCAGTGGATGAATGAGTACGATAAGGCGATTCGTTTGTCCTCGCTGTAAAGCAGGTCTTCGTTACGAAATAATAACTTCCTAGCCCCAACTAGCCCTGGCCAAGTCCTCTCACTACATTCGTAAACAGATAAGAGAATTTCATACATAGGGTTAACAGCAGAGGCATGTGGCTCTGCGATAGTGAAATGGTAACGGGATGGAAATGGGCGTCGTGTAGAGTGCTGTATGCAGGGTGACGACGAGAAGTGGTGTTATCCCGCTACTATCTCAGAATATTTTCCCGTCAAGCCCGTCGCCGCCGTGTATGTCGGAACTTTTTCCTGCGTGAATTCAGTCCAACAAAACGTCTGGTGCAACCCAACACGAATAATTGAAACATTGTTATACGTTTCACCTTCATTCCCGTTTTCACATCTCAACTCGCTGGAGACGCCATCCTTTCGCAAATCTCAAAAGAAGCGGAACCCAGGTGGATGGGGGGTTGTTCAGGTGACCAGGAGGAAGTTGGAGTCGCGTCGCATGTTGATGATCGAGGCGTGATCGATCGTAAAGCGAGAGCTCCCCACTCACCTCACTCGGATTGATGCCTAGGCTGAGCTTGAGATCTCTTGGCCATTGCTTATATACCTGACAGCATGTACACTGCTTATAGACCAGGCATTCCCAAGCTCCTTTGAATTCGCCTCTAATCCTCTCCGCAGCCAACCGAACTTATTCCCCGCCGATCCTCACTCTACGCACTCGAGACTCATCATTCCACCCGACCACCCGTTCCTCGTCTCCTCCCATCGCCCTAACGCTCTTCTCCGCCACCTCCCACGCTTTCCGCACAGCCACGATGGTCGCGACTCGTCTGCTCCCTTTTCTCCTCCTGCTTCTCATCTCCCACGCCGTCCTCTCGTCAGCCGCACCTCGTCGGCAAAAAAAAACCGCTCTGACTGTTCAAGCCCATGCGAAGCGCCATCTAGGTGTCGTAACTCCCGCCGCGACCGGCGGGCCCATTAAGTACTATGGAGGTCCTATCGTCGAAGGCAACCCGACGGTGAACATCTACCATATCTACTACGGCAGCTGGCCGTCTGGGTCCGGGCAAGATTACATCGACAACTTCGTCAAGACCTTAAGTAGCGACTCGAGCGTGCAGGGCTCGGCGAGCGACCCGACGGTGAAGGGGTGGTGGGCGATCACGTCGAACTACTATCAGTCGAGCAACGGGGCGAAGAAGAACGTGAGCTCAATGGTGCAGATCGTGGGGACGACGTACGACAGTTACTCTTACGGCAAGACACTCACCAACAACAACGTGGTCTCCAGGCCCTTCTCCCCGACCTTGCTTGTGAGTCGTCTCAGAAAGGCGTGCTTTCTAGAAAGGGTTCGTTTTTTATGCCTGTGAAAGGCGTGCTTCACAGGATAGTGAAGGGGGTAGGAGGTCATTCCATTGGTGTTTGCACAAGTTCTTCCTCTCTGGATGCCGTCTTCCCCATATCTTTTGTCGCCTTTTGAACGCTGTTACGCCGTCATCTCGCTTCCTACTGTGTGCTTTCCCCATTTTATGAGAGAGTTAAGCTTTGACTAAACTTTGTTCTTCGTGCAAAACCTGACGTTTCCATCGCAGTCGTGAAAAGAAAGATCGGATATGGCAAGGCCTTCGTGTACGATGCGCACAGGATTTACGTTCTTATATCAAGCAAGGACGTGACTCTGTCGTCGGGCTTCTACAGCCAATACTGCGGGTGGCACACGGTCGAATATACCGGATCATCCCCATTATACTATGCGTTGTGGGTCACCACGCCCAGTGCCCCAACGCGTGCAGCGTAAAGAGCACCTCCCCCAATGGCAACCCTGATATAGATGCCACCATTTCAACCCTCGCGCACAAAATTACCGAAGCTGATACGGACCCTGACGTGAAGTCTGGCTGGGCTGACGTGGGTGGGGAGGAGAACGCGGATCTGTGCTCCTGGATTGACGGAACTACACTCAGCTCAAACGGTTACACTTACAACATGGTTGGGTTAAACAGAATGAAACTTCCTGTGCAGTAGAACTAGGACAGACTGTCAGAATAACTGTGCAGGAATGATTGGATTAGCAAGAGTTGGGGTACAAGTACTAACCCTAGAAGTGTTGTACCCCATAAGGAGTGCCCCACTATAGCCTACAAGTAAGATTGTACTTTGACACACCCCCATAGGCTAAGTGGGGGACAACAAGACGGTCACAAGTCCTATCAAGCAAGACAACAAAGCAAAGCAAAGCTCAGGGTGGATCTCAAGGACACCACACAATCCGAGCACAAGCAAGCGGCCACAAGGCCAGTTCACATGCAGAGTTATAATAGCAAGGCAATACACTGATCACAACCTAGTAAGAGTAAACAAGCAGGTATAAAGATATATATCAGAGTACAACAAGAGCAAGTCAAGAAACAAGCAGGTGAGGCAGAGTGGGCACAAGCCCAAGAGCAGTGCAGAACAGTTCATCACCAGACCCAAGGGCCTTGGTGAACACATCAGCAGTGTTGGCCCATGAGGCCACGTAGGAAAGGCGGGGCTGACGACGCTGCTGCATCTCACGTGCAAGGAAGCAACGAAGAGCAATGTGCTTCGTTCTGTGCTCTAGTCTCTGCTCGTGAAACAAGGCAAGCATTGCCTTGTTGTCGACGTACAGAACTGGAGGAGAACGAGGCCGCTCCTCCAAGTCGGTCAGCAGGTAGGTCAGCTTGCGTAGCTCCTGTGCAGCCATGGCCCCTGCGTAGATCTCAGCCTCACAGCTGGAACCAAGTACAGAAGAAGAACGAGTTGACCTACACGAGACAGAACAAGAGCCAAGATTGAAGGTGTAACCCTGTGACGACACTGAGTCGCCTAATCGTCGGCCCAAGAAGCGTCGAAGTGTCCTGTGAGTACCGCTGAACCCTGTCCTCCAAGCACGAGCCCCATGCCCAATGTACTGCACAAGTAATGCAGTACCCTCTTCGCAGCATCCCATTGCACCTTTCGGTGTCTACCGGGAGCCACGTAGCGAGCCAAGAGGCTGAGAGGGTACGCGAGGTCAGGTCGTGTGCACGTCATCATGTACATGAGGAAACCCACAAGCAATGGGTACGGACCACTCGGCTCTACGGACTCGTCTGAAGGTGGAGCTGAGAGCGTGTGGCAGGTAGACAGAGGAGTGGGCTGTCGCGAGAAGAACTGGAGGCCGAAGCGCTGAAGGACCTGGTGCACCATGTGTGACTGAGTCAGGGTGATGGTATGCCGTGCTCTGTCCCGGGTGATCTGCAAGCCAAGATAGCTACGCAAATCACCCAGGTCGGTGCAGGTGTGTCTCTCCTGCAGCTCCGCCTTCAGTAGGGCCAGCGCCTCAGTGTCAACAGTAGCAAAAACCAAGTCATCGACGTACACTAGAACGTAGAACGGCGGCAAGGTAGTGTCGGTGCGTAGAAACAGCGACAGGTCAGCAGAGGAAGGAGAAAACCCAAGAGCCGCAAGTGTAGTCCTAAGTGTGTCCTGCCACTCTCGGGGCGCCTGGCGGAGACCGTAGACTGGCCACCGGAGGCTCCACTCGGTACCCGCAGGAAACGACCCATTGAAGTCGGGTGGGCGGCGCAGCCAGATCTCCTCGTGCAGGCTGCCCTGCAAGAAAGTTGTGGAGAAGTCGAGGGAGTGCAGCTCGTAGTCACGCTGTGCTGCAACGTGCAACAGCACCCAAAGAGTAGTCATCTTCGGGGTGGGGGAGAAGGTCTGGAAGAAGTCGACCCCCTGTCGCTGACTGAAGCCTCGAGCAACGTAACACGCCTTGAAGGCAGGCGGAGAACCCGGCGGCCGCTTCACTCTGAAAATCCACATGCCATCGACTATGTTCGCCCAAGGAGGAGGAACCTCGTCGACGTAGGTGCCTGTGGACTTCAAGGAAGCCATCTCTGCGTCCATGGCTGTCTGCCGCTGAGAGGAGTACTCACCTGCGATTGCCTCAGCGTAAGAGCGCGGGGTAGGGATGTCAAGTGCATCCGGGTCTCCCTCAGGGCAAAGCAGCATGGATGCGAGACGAGGTAAAGCGGCCGCAAGACAATCAAGCTCAAACTGTTTGTCCTCAAGTACGTCACTGCCAAGGGCAAGCTCACCCCCGACGGACGGAGGACAGACAGACTCAGACTCAGTGACAAGACTCGCGACGTAGTCGAGACAACTCCTACTTGCAAAGTCGACTAGCTCAGTGACTAGGGCAAACGCTGCAGTAGACTCAAGGTCAGGGTCAGTGTCGACAGTAGCGAAGAGACGAGTGACAGTAGGACTGGTAGCACGAGCAAGGTCGGACTCAGGGTCAGGAACGTGCGGAAGAGAGGACGTGGGAGGCTCAGGCAGGACAACATGCTGTGGAACAGAGGAAGGACGAAGTGCGATACCGTGAGTGCCTGTGAGGAGGAGGACGGGCGACATGACGAGCACGAACAGGTGTGAAAGCACGAGTCTCAGGCTCACGTTGCTCAGTCAGGGACTCAGTCACCTCAGTGTGAGGAGCAGGAGCACGCAGTGGGGAGCCAGGCAGTAGCTGTGGCTGAGACTGGTCTGTCGGTGGACACAGGA